CATAACTCTCATTTACACATTACTGTAATATTTTCTTTTTCTTTTCTTTTTTTTTTCCACTTTTGTGATCAAGACAATGAGACCTAGAAAAATGAAGGAGGTAATTAATCGTATCAAATAGCTAAATTTTATCTTGATGTCCAGAAAAATTTGGTTAGGAATATGTGATATTAATACTTGGTAAACTGAAATCAGAATGTTTATCTGAGACTTGCTTTGAATTCAAAGAAAAGAAACATTCATTCTCTTATTATTTTAAAAACAATTTTATTTATTTTACCATACATCTTTAAAAATAAAAGTTCCTATTCTCTCATATCATTACCTCATGTGCCCCATTGTACATTTAATAGAAACCAGTCACTTAAAAATGACTAGTATACAATTAAAACTTATAACTTCTCTAAAATTACACATTGAACGTGCTCTTCACCAACACTATATTCTCCTTTTGCTCAATAATAGAGGTGGTGCTAAGATATAGTTGCCTAGCCCGGAACAGTATTCCTCTGCCCTGGTTTATCCAGGTGTGGACATATACCTAGATTTTTAAGATGAAATGTGAGCTGAAGTGAAATTTGCAATTCCAACCTCACCTGGTTAAGGAAATCTCTTCATTTGGACTGGCTGAAATGGCAATGACCGGAGTTATTTTTCAACAGAATGTTAAAGATAATAAACCCTTATTTGGCCCAGGTCCCTGGATGTTTGCATGGAGGACTGCATGAGAGGAATTACTGCCAACCTGAAACACTCAACTTACACTGTCATGTGAGCAAAAGTACATGGTTTTTAGTTCTTTAAACCATTGAAATTTGGGGGTTTCCTTTTACAGTAGCCTAAGCTACTCTAACTAATCTGATTATCCTGAGATTTAATGATTTAATGGCCACTGAAAAATAAATAAGACAACTGGGTCAGTTTGGGGAGGGGCGGAGGAGGTGTGTGTCAAGAATTCTGTTTAAAATTTTAAGATAAATTAATATTTTTTCTTATAAGCCTCTCTAACACCTAGTCTTTTTTGAAAACTATTTTTTTCCTAAGGAGTTCTAATGTCAATTTTGAAACGAAGACATTCTTGGTATGTAAAAACCATGTGTACCTCATCTCACAGTGCTACTTAGCCTAGATTACCACTTTCCATTTGGAACCTATGAGTATCCTTATCCCCACACCCTACTTAAAACAGAAATCGTGCACTATTGTATGGTGTCTTCCCCAAATATGATCACAGGAAGTAGAAGTTTTCCCACCAGGAATAATCCCAACACAAGGAATCATTCTGATAGTCAAAGTTTAATAACATTGTTTAGCATCTCTCGGATTTTTGTGCATGCAGCTTAGGCAGTGAATGAATTTGAAAAAAACAAAATGAGAGGGAAGGAGGCATATGAAGTTTTCAGAAACCATTCTATAATTCATTTTTTTCTTTTTTTTTTTTTTTTTTCTGTCAAGGAAGGAAACTTTGTTGGTCTTTACAGCAATCTGAAATGGCATCAGCATATTTCCAAAGCTGGTGATTGAACATATGAAAAGAAAGTGCAAGAATAAAAATGTTCTGCTACAAATATGATTTTAAAAAATAACAAACTGGGAAATATTGCAACATAAATGAGAAAGATTTGTAATATGATTAATATATTATTTGATTAGTTGCTTCCAACCAATAAAATGTTGAACAACGTATATTAATTGAAACAGTAGCAGCTAATATAATAGACAAACCCTAAATTCTTTCTCATGTAACAGTTCATTGAGGGTATTCCTAGTTAGGTAGCTGTCCTCCAAGGTGGGATTCAGGGGCTAAGGTTCCTTTTATCTTGCTTTTATAATTGTCATCATTTGATTCCTATGTTTCCCTCGAGTATTTTCTCCATTTCAGCCATCCATAAGGGAAAAGGTTAATAAGCCTGGCCAGGAAATGGTGGAGATCACTTAGTTCCACATTTTATTGGCCATAACTAAGTCACTTAGCAATTGAGGTTAGGAAATGTAATCTAGTGATATGCCCATGAGATGGAGGAAAGGACTTAGGAGGCATCCCGACACACTGCTATGTGCTTCTTCAAAAATCTTCAAAGTAATAGCGAGGTAATTGAAGAAGATAATATCAGCCTTAAGTTTTTTTTTAAAAGTTCATTCCACGATTTAGTTCAAATTTAAATCTACATAAGCATTTAAATTCAGTTAATAGCATTTATCCAAAAAGGAGTGTCATCTGCCCATATTTGGTATAATTTTTATATTATTTAAATTTTTGAAGTGTCTGAACAAATCAAAACAATCATTTTCAGTACCTGAGTACTACTGAATCCATATGACAATGATATTGATTTTTCAATAGGAGTCTATCCGTAAATAGTAGGATTCAACAAGATTACCAAAATTGCCTTTACAATTCAGAATAACAAGTTAAAAGGGATGATCAAGGGCAGTCTTGAAATTGTTAGAAAAGTTCTGGAAGGTCAAAATTCTCCTTTATGTGATTGCTGTTAATTTTAGCATCAAATAATTGGCTAGGTTTGTTCACTAAATTAATAACTTTATTAATATAATTTATTTGCAGATAGTAGTTCTATGTAGAGATGGTATGAAGTGGTAAATTAGTCATTGAACACAACATTTTTATTTTTAAAAAGTTGCATTAAACAAGGACCCTTTAAAAAGCGAACTAAATGAACAATGTCTTGATTTGATCCATGACTTGGCGTCAGTGTCACAATATTTTAGCTAAGAAAGATAATAAGCAATGTGATAATTTGAGACGTCTGGAAGTGTACTTCTATTAATAAGGAAATGATGAGCTCCAAATGAAAGCTCCACCCCCCAAACAGGACACCACTTACTGAGTTTATTTTAAAAAGAAGTGTTAAGCACTACACCTCTTTTTTCTTCCTTTGGGGCTCCCAAGGAATGACTAGATTTGGGTTAAAAATTTTTGGAGAACAAAGGTGAGAATTTTGATGGGCTGAAACTAGGAGATTTTTTTTTTTTTTTTGAGCTAGTTCAGATAGTAAGTAGATTATTTTGTGATTATCTGATCTAGAAAAGTTAGTTAGAAAGACACCAAGTGAGTTTATATCCATCTTGGTTCTCAAGAACAACAAAGTAAACACATCCAGAGAAGTTCTCCAAAATCAGAAAACTCTATAGCCCATAGCAAAGAATCGGAGTCCACAAGTTTTACCATGCCAGTAAGAAGGAAGAAAATTGGTAATAATTGACATGGGAGAGAGAATGGCTTTTAAATCAGATTGACCAAGGATTCTTATTTTGTTTACATATAGTTTACATCTCAATTATTTACATATGTGCTATGTGGGATTTTCTGGTAATTATATTTCATAATTTAATTGTGTGCTAGAGTATTATAAAGACAGCTTTTTATAGAAGAAGAAAACTACTTGGTTCAATGTGGTCAGTGTTCCCAGATATGTCCCTCACCTACCTCATCCTGCAGTACCTCAGCCCCTGCTGCAGATTAAAATTCTTAGTTATATCTTAGAAATTGTAAGTACTATAGTACAACTTCTAGAACATGATAAAATCCTCCATGATCTGAAATTGTTATTTTCTTGAGCCTCAATTAGTATCATTGTCCAACTTCTGAATTTTCTCTGGATATACTGAACTACCAAACTATTGTGGAATTCAGTGTAGACTCTCACAGGTTTTGTTTATACTTCTGTATATTGCTGACACTTTGGTGTGAAACATCTGTTTACATTTTTGTGAACAGGCTGAACTCTACTTTTCTATGGCTCAAAACTCTAGTGATCATGTTCAAACATAGCTAAGTGTCTCTCCAACATGCTTCCTCAGTACTGTGATCTCTCTATTATTGTGTTTTCGTGGTATATTGCATTTTTCATATAGTTCTTTTTTTCCACCCCAGGGCAGTGAGCCTCTGGAAGTGAAGAATTTATTGAAAACACAATTAAATTAAAATTTCTGTATTTCATAATTGCTTCATGTTTGGATAGAAGTAATAGCAAGGTTTATGATACTCTTCTGCAAATATGTATTATATATTATTATACATATGTATATATGTATGTATGTGTATATATACTTAGAGAGAGAGAGAGAGATACAGATATCGATGTTGAAGCCTTCATCCTTAATGGGTTGGTATTTGTAGATGGGATCTTTGCGAGGTACTTAAGTTTAGATGAGGTCATGATAAATGATACCCTTATCATGGGATTAGTGTTAAAAAGAGACACCAGAGAGCTTGCTTTCTCTCTCCATCATGGGAAGACACAGGGAGAAGGGGGCTGTCTGTAAGGCAGTAGGACAGCCTGAACCTGACCACGCTGATACCCTGATCTTGGACTTTAGATGCCAGTCACCACAAGAGTGAAAACATAAACTTCTATTGTTTAAGCCATGCACTTTATAGTATTTTGTTATGGCAGCCTGAGCTGATTACCTGACTGAGATAGTGTGTATATATATATACACACACACACACACACACTAACTATATAAATTTAACGTATAATATAGTATGCATGTGTATAAATAATTTTAATATATTATATAATTTAACATATTATATATTATAAATTAAATTTATTTATACACACATATATATACACACTGATTAGATGAAAATATTATTGCAGATTAAATATCAAAATTGGATATATTCTACCTGACAGTAACAAGAAACTAATAGCCTACTCCCCACCATTCAGATCATCAATCAGTTAAAATTTAAACCCAAACCTATAATGTATTTTTCAAAGCTTGCTTTAATCATTTTAAAAGGATCTGTTATTCATCAAAGCTTTGCTAAAACAGGTATCTTTTATCCTAAATTGTCATATTAACTATCTTCAATTTTAAAATAAATATAACGTTATGTTAATTTAGTAAAACTTAAAACTGGAATAGGCAGCCCACATTATTGATAAATTCACATTATATTAATGTTGAGAACCACCCCTCAAACACTAAACACTTTATGCATTTCAAAATCTGATAGCAATCAATACCTATACTCCTCTTGTGTGAAACGTGGGATTTCTCCAGGATGTAGGACAAGAATTTTCACTGTGGCACTGCTGGACAAAACAGGCTCACCATCGTCAAAAGCAACGACCACCAACTTAAAAAGAGATAAAAATTCATGTTAAAGATTACAAACAGAGGAAAATGAAAGTATCATTTGTATATGTATGATTTTAATCA